ATGATGTAGCATTTGTTCATTGTTGGCATTTTTCTTCATACAAGTTCACAATTTCATAGTTTTCTACATTGCACCACATAATATTATTGAGTTGACTACCACAATAACTCATTTGTTATTGTCATCGATTGATACAAAATCACAAATTAATGATTTCTCAACTCATATCCCGATCATGCGTGTTACTATTTTCTGTAGGGAAAATTTCCTTAGTTTAGATCTCTCATGTAGGTAATATTTTTAAAATTACCCCCTATTTAGGATTTTATCTCACTTTTTGGAAGCTTTGATGTCGTGAAATGTCATATTTTATCACAAATGTCACATTCTATGTTGCGGATTGCGTATTAAAATAACACTTATTCAGTTATTTGCCTTTAAATTTTTTCAAATCCATCAAGAGAATATTACCCGAAATAGGACTAAAAAGATTTGAAAATTCCAAAACAGGACTGTCATGTTTTTATTCCCAAAATAGGACTAATTACTGTCATGTTTTGGTAGAGTCAGACTTCAAACATGACAGTATTTTCCAAACTTGACAGTAATTACTCCTATTTTGGGAATAAAAAATATGACAGTCCTATTTTGAAATTTTCAAACTGTTTTAGTCATATTTCGGGAACTTTCTCAGCTATCAACGCAAGAAAGAAAACTGCCATTTTCGTATTCTAGTTTTTTTTAGCAAGAACTAGAGGGCTTATATTGATAATAAAACATTCAGCAAGGGATACAAACGATAAAGGAAACACTTCCAGCCACCAATCCTCGGACCAGCTGGAGAACCAACCACCCTTGATAGAGCAGTATGATTCGCTTGTCCTGTAATGGGTCTAAATGAGCCAAACGTGGCCAGAACGAAACCCTCATCACCCCTACCTAATGTAAAAGTCTGATAGAATGAAGTAACAGTAAAAGAAATAAACATAGTCTGATCGAAAGTAGAAAAACCAAACACAACAGCAGCATGAAAATTAAAATGCATCCTTATTCTCTCGAGAAACCTACATTGAGTTCCCACAGTCCTAGCCGCAAAAATTCTCCATGGCGGCGGTTCAGGAGGGGGACGTATCAGCACCTCTTCGTCTACCTTCACACGTGAGCTCTTGTTTGGAGTCCCTTTCTCATCCGTGACCTCCTCGTCGACCTACTTCACCACCTTCAAACAACCTGCTATGACACTTGCTAATCATCCCCTTGACCTCCCAGACCTTCCAGATTGCGTGTGGCCGAATCGTTGCATCCAATTGACGAAAAAGCAGCAGCCTGCAACCTCCTTCTTGAACTCCCCAAAGCCGAATTAAACCCCTGCCGTGAAGAAGAACCAGACCCCAACCCCGCCTTCACCTCTTCCTCAAGCCTATGAGACGAATTGAGATCTGAAAATTACCGGTGGGAGAAAGACGATCCAAAACGCAGTCAAAATCTCCGGACCTGAGCGACTAAACGCCGCCGGCGGCAAAACTAGCTAGGGAAAACCCTAGAGACGTCCGCTAATGATGCTTATTAAATGGTGTGTATTAAATAAATAATACATGTAGACAAGCAAATGAAAACAGGAGTATAAAACCAATAAGATCGATAGAAACAGTTCATTATTTTCGTATTCTAGTTATAACTTCTTTGTTTTGGAATATAACTTCTACATGTGCATATTGTCTCGTAATTCCAGCTATCTATATTTCATGTAGGTCATATTTTAAAAAGTGTCACATGTTACATTTTTTTCTTACCCTTTGGCAGTTTTAATACAAATGCCACATTTAATGCCATGTGGCATATAAGATAACTTTTACATATGTATGTAGGACTGTAGACAATCAAATAATTTCAAATTAATTTTGCAAACTGTTAAAGGTCTCAATGAGACGAACATTACCAAGTGTCATTGTGTAAACTGCAAATCTAACTTACTTGGAGTGCTCATAAGTCATAGTCATGACCCCAATATTTAGTTATGAATCTTTAAAAACCCATTCCATGTTTTTTTAAGTTAGCCCCTATATTTCAATTGTGCATAAATATGCCCTATACGGCTATACCCGTGGCTTGTAAATTTCAAAAAAGTACTCAAGAGAGGATGCTAACAAGTAACTCTACAAGTCTTCCTTTGTTTCCTTTTCTTTATTGTTGAGTCAATGTTATTTTGTTTTTCCTTCATTTATAACTAGACAAAGTACCCGTGCGATGCACGGGGTATCAAGAATATAATAACATTTTTAGAAATTGCTCTAAATATGAGTAAAAACGTTTTGAAATTTCGAAATAGGAGTATCATGTTTTTATTCCTTGAATGGGAGTAATCTGCCAAGTTTGGAAGAAAATGTCATGTTTAAAGCCTAATAATTTCAAACTTGGCAGAAATTTACTCCTACTGAGAGAATAAAAAACATGATATTCCTGTTTTGGAATTTCAAAACATTTTTACTCCTATTTAGGGAATTCTCTCTAACATTTTATTATAATTATATGTATTGTAGTTATATGTCAATAAAAAGAAAATATAGTTTATATGTTGTAGATTTCATTATAAAATAGTAATTGTAAGAAATGTTAATTAATTTGGTTTGCATGACAATTGCAAGTAAAATAAATGTTAAGGTGTAACATTAAATTAAATTTTATGTGATAATAATGGAATTAAGAATGTTTTTACTTAAAATGGACCTTTTCTGATCTGGTCTTGTCTGGTCTTTTAAAGTCTGAACTGGTTTGGTCTAATAAATGGCTAAGCTAGTCTTTGTGTATTTTATAACTGTTGAAGCATGATCTATTCTAGTCTAGTCCGTTTAGGTCTGGTATGATACAATTTGGTCAGGGGCCTTGTTTAGTGTGAGACTGAAATAATTCTTGATAAAAACATCATAATTATAATATACCATATAATTATTAGTAAGTCTCATAAAACTATAAACCAAAGAATCATAAATGTTTATACTTAACAAAAATTCTTTATAAATCACATTATTAGTGGTATTGATAGCATGACCTTTGTCATCACATATAATAATCTCCAGTCCACTTCTCGATCATTACATATTAAGGACACTGACTTTTAGCTCCAATTTATGATTAGGTAACTCTGACGCATTGGTCATGTTAAAAAAACTTTTAAGTATGCACTTCAATGAATTAAATGTTGCCTTCAAGTTAGCATGAGATTCAAAATTTAAATATGTCTTCATTTTTCCAGACATTAATCAGATCATATAATTATTGATACCGTCTACAACATCACGTGTGAGTCTAAAAATAGCTTTTTGCTATTTTAAAAATTATGGAAATTAAATTGAAAACATTAGAACTCATTGAATATGTTATTATAACATTACAAAAACTAAATTAATAAATGGACCATTGAACATCCTTGTCGGGCAAACTTCTAAAATAAAAAAAATTGGCCCCTCATTATGCTCACTATTCAGATAATGTCACGTGTAGTCCGCCAGATCTGCCCACAATGTACATCCTACAGTGTATAAACTTAAACAGACTATTTAAATTAAATCAAGTTTAACATTGCCTGTTCATAATTTAGCACAAACTATTATGGAAATATTTTTTTTTCTATTTTCAAAATTATTATTTAACTATGAGGATGTACTTACTAAAATAGTTTGGACTAAACACTATTCAATTATGTAGCTATATTTTGAAAAGCACCGAAATTGCCTTCTGCTTTACCAAAAAGCTTTATTCATTAAAAAATACAGTTTAGATAAATATGAAATTATTTATTATGAAAACGTATTTAGTAAATTAAATTCGAAAAAAATAATTATTTAATTACAATATATTTACACTTAAACATGAAAAATATGTTTAAATTAAACAAAGTATAAAATCACAAAAACTTTAATTGAGAAGGTAAATTTCGAAATATAATTGAAATTACCTTCGATCTAGTAAAATCATCTTGAGGCTCGCTCGTATTTCGTAACTTGTCACCACTGTATCACACGTACACAAACCCTATATTCGATGCTTCTGGATTAAAAATCATCGAGATCGACATTTTTGACTTGCATGGTAGACATAAAATTATATATTGGTCCTAGCTACTATATACAATAAAATTCTGGTACCCATTTTTTAAAAATGAACTTAATAAATGCGCGACTATTTATATATGAAGTATAAAAGGTCGTTAAGTAAATATATAGCATGTTTCTTGAATTTCAGAATTATTGTAATGAAAACTTTTTTAGTGAAAATTTAACATGTTAATAGAAATTATATACACATGTCATGTGTTACGTATAATATAGCTCCATAGGTGTTTTTGGAGCAAGATGATACTCGTATGTATTTTTTTTTTTTGGAGCAATAGTAGTGGTACGTGTGCTATTAGTAATATGGTTGGTGTATTTTTTATCTATTCTAGGTATATCTTAATTTGCTTTGTAGCCATCTTATTTTATATACACGACATGTGTTATTATAGCTGCATAGGTGTTCTATACTAACCATATATTCATTATTAAATAGCTTATGATTTTTAATAATAACAACGAATCTTGCTAAAGTAATACGGAGTAACTTGCATGTGGATCGGCTAATAATGAGCGTTATTTTACAGGTCATATACTTCCATGTTTAAATTTGTTACCATCTTCCCATTTTAATAATAAATTATCATTATTAAATAGCTTACCGTTTTAATAAGATGAACTAATCTTACCAAAGTTACAACGTGTCTGCATAGCGACGACTAAAGTATCTTACCAAAGTAACAGGCGGGGTTTCGATTTTTGTACATTAGTTTCCCATTATGCCCCTAATTTGGGCGGGATTTTTCCCTCCAGTTGTGGTGCAGCGACTGTTACTTTATATTATATAAAGATTACTAAAATATATAGGCAAGTAATAAAAAAGAAAACGGGTTAATTCTAATTTTAAAATATTCTCAAATCGAACCAAGTTCATCTAATACATTGAATTCTATGTTTCGATAAAATTCATTTATGATTCGATATTTATTGATTTAGTTTTCGGTTTTCGCTTGCACTGTTGCACGAAATGGCTCCTATTAAGGAATAATTTGTGAGACGATACGGGCTATCGAGTATTATTAAAAATAAAAAGTATGAAGTGTGCCGTATAAAGATTTCAACTTATTCACGCAAAAAAACCCAAAAAAAAAAACGAAAAGTAGCGCCTTGAACGGCAAATTGGCTTACTATTGTTTGTTTCCTTTTGGTTCCGAAGCCAATTCACTCAAGTGCTTGACGAAGTTTTCGAGATTGTTGAATGAATCACCTCCCTCAACAATGGCATCCAACGCTGCATGTTTCAGCTCCAAAGCACGCACCTTCGCCTCCCCACCTCCCTCTTTCACGGCTTTGCTCAACAAACGAGCCAACTCGTCCGAGTCCGGCACCATTTCCTGTCCCTCACTTGCTCTCATCCCCACTTTGAACTCGTCCACTAGGAGGTCCGCATTCACGTATTGGTCGGCGCCCATCGGCCATGTCAGCAATGGCGCGCCAGCAACTATTCCTTCTAGCGTCGAGTTCCACCCGCAGTGGGTCAGGAATGCCGCTATAGAACGATGCTTGAGAATCAATACCTGTGGGGCCCATCCTTGGATCACTAGTCCCCTCGGGCCCACACGTTCCCGGAAACCCGTGGGTATCGCCCCGTAGCCTTCACCCACGTGCCCCGTGGGCACCTTCGTTGACCACAGAAAGTTGACTCCGCTCTTCTCAAGCCCGAGCACTAGCGCCTCCATTTGCCGGTCGGTCAACACTGCTTGACTGCCGAAGCAAACGTAGACAACCGAGTTGTCCTCCCGCGAGTCGAGCCAACTCAGTATCTCATCCGTTGAGACGGTGCTCGATCCGCCGCGCTCCGCCGGCCCGGAGTTTTCATCGCCGGGAGGCAACAGTGGACCGACGGACCAAATCCTCTCGTTGACCAAGTACTTTTTGAGGTGCTCTGTGTGGACCCCCTCCAGCGCACTGAAAGTGTTGAACAGAAGCCCGGAACTCACGGTATTATCCAGGTACGACTGTTTGATGAACTCCGAATCTGGGTCTCCCTCCACGTAGCTCCGGTAAATCGGAGAAAGCTGCCACCAGGGATATTCCGGGCAGTTCAGAAGGCTCGGAAAACGGAAAACCTCACTCTCATCGTCCGGATTCTTCCGTTTGGGCATCTCTCTCCACAGGGTGAAACCGAGGGACATGGCCACGACGCCGGAGGGGGAAAAGACGTACCGGCGAACACCGAGCTCGACGGCAAGTCGGTGGGTGAACCCCAAGAATATGTCGGAAATGATTGCTACCGGCGGCGAAGGGTGAAATCGAAACCAGTCTTTGATTTGATCTTTGAGGCCGCCGAGAGCGGGTATCATGGCACGGAAGCCGGAGGGAGGGAGGTCCTTGACGTTCTCGACGCCGTCGGGGATCGATGGGTTCGCCGGAAAAGGCAAAACGAGGGTGTTGATGGCGGGGTGTCTTGCGAGGAGAGGGGACAAGAAGGGGAGGTTTTTGGGGGTCACGAGGACGGTGATGGTAAGGTTGCGGATGGCGAGCTGGTGCGTGAAATCTAGGAGAGGAAGCATATGGCCTTGTGCTGGGTATGGGAATACTAGGACATGAACGCCGGCGAGTTTTGACATGGTGGTGATCGGGGAGTAGTGTCGGCGGCGAGTTATAATGTGGTTGTGGTTCTCTGTTAGATTAGAAACAAAGGATCTGATCGGAGAATGGAAGAAGTCAATTAAGAAATGTTTAATTTTGGAGCATATGGTCAACTGATTAAGTTAGATTTCAAAGAAGCAAGTGGGTAGGTAAATTAGGTGTTGATTGATGTGCCAAACGACGGGCGTATCCAACGGGTGCGTAAAGGATAGCGCCTCTAGCCCACCCCACTCTTCTGCATCAGTGCTGGCTAAAGTAATTCCACAAAAATGTCAAATAGGTTCATATACTATAACACAAAAAACAAATGTCAATTGAGTTCTTGAGCTATTAATACACTCAATAACCTCTCATACTATACAAAAACTGGAGTAAAGAAGCCAGATGGGCATACACGTCGGCCACTATGGAGGCTAAGAGGAATAACTGAATGTTTTTGTATATAATATGAAGGGTTAATTGAGTGTTTTAATAGTTTGAAAACTCAATTGACTTCAATGATATACTATGGACATCTATTTGACAATTTTCTCTTTAGAGAATTTCCATTGATGTATTTCTATTTCCGATTATCCTTTAGTGATCACAATTTAAATATCAACGTCAATTATAATATAATCTAAATTTAACATATTTCAATATTATACATCATAATCTTCAAAATGTATGGAATAAATCTAGACATATGGGTTCCCAACGTTTATCAAATTATCCAGCGGACATAGATTTTCATCCCCATCCTTAGCTAAGAAATTTACTTTCAATGCTCATATTAATCAAATCAAGTTCTTATTATGATAATATTTGAAAGTAATGAAACATTGAAACCTCTCTTACTTTGAGAACGCCTAACATATTTGTTCAAAGCGAGAATTTGACTTTGCACCCCGTGTTTTGGATGATATTAGACTTTACACCCCATTTTCAAATTCATTAGTATATGCATCAACCCAAAAATGTGAAGGAGTAGGGCGCAAACTCAAATAATTTTATAGTAAATTAAGGTGTATACAAAATGATTTTGGAATTAGGGTGCGAAATCAAATACGACAGTATCACTCAAAACATTAAACATTGGATACAAACTCAAATTCTCTTATTAAAAAAAACTCAAATTCTCCCTCGTCCAAACCTTTGAAACCCCTTCTTTCACTATACAAATGCCCGTAACGGCCTGTTTGGATTGAGTGTTAGCGGGTGTTAGTAATGGAAGTGTTAAGGAGTGTTTAGTTTAACACTTGTTTGGGAGAAAACTTTAAAAAAATCAGAGGTGTTAATAAGTGTTTGAGGGTGTTAACAATAACCCTCCTAACACCTATATTTCTCAGTTTTTTAACACTCCAATTTGGGGTGTAATGGAGTGTTGGACAATAATTGCCCTCTTTATTTCTACTTCCAAGTCCCACGTTCATCTCTCTTGTGGACTATCATCCTTCCTCCCGGTGACTGTTCTCCTTCTTTCTCCCACCCTCCCAGTGAACTGTTCTCCACGTTTGTCTCCTCTTCCCCCAAATTCTCTTCAAAGTCTCATCAAAAGAGTGCTTGGCGAAATCGTTCCAAACACCACTACACCAGTATACCATAATTCCCCCCTCCAAAGTCCAAACACTGGAACCGAATCCAGTAGCCCGAGGTATGGCAACCTCTGGAACTGAATCCGATCCTCATGAAAGCAAACGCCGCAAAACACTCCAAACACCGCTTCCACCATTCGGCGCCGGCAAGGGCAAGTCCAAGATCGAAAATTTGGAGTCGGAAGACGGCGATGAATCTGAGCTGTGCTGCGGGATATGCCTGCTGGAAGCCGGAACTGGTCGGCCCATTATTCAAGGATGTATCGACAGCTGCGAGCACTTCTTCTGCTTCTTGTGCATCATGGAGTGGTCCAAGGTTGAATCCAGATGTCCGATGTGCAAGCGCCGATTCTCCACCATCCGTCGCCCTGCCGATCCCCCTCTCTTCCTTTCAGAACGCCTAGTTTCCGTTCCTTGTCGCGACCAGGTCAGGCGCCCATTACAGTTTTTGTATTTCTGCAATATGATCACAAGCAATTCACCACATTTGTTTGGATTGATGTATAGCTGAAATTAGGTTGACAGGTTCTCAGATTAATAGATAGTATTAGTTTTGATTGAACCCCATAAATAAGTGTTGCCGTGTTGGACAGTCTTTAACAGCTCTTTTAGAACTCGGTTCCAATCTGTTCTGAACAAATTGCTTCTACTTAGTTTGCATGCCTGCATCTTCTACATGTGGAAAACAAGATTGTTACTTTGATTCTTTCTTGAAAGAGACATTTTGCAAGTATTTACACTCTGAATAGGAGAAGAATTGATTTGGCGAAAAAAGAAACAAAGAAAATACGTTGGAGCTTGGAGAGAGATAGGGAGGAGAATGGTTTCATTATGGTTTTCTGAACTGCAACGAATCTTAGTAGATTTCCAGGCAATAATTACTATACTAATTAGATACTTCAAAGCATAATTTAAGAAGGGAAAGGATAGATGTATCATGTATGAGAATAAAATTTGTAACAAAATGGTACTTCTCTTGCTATCAAATAATCCTTTTCACTCTCCTTTTGGATAACCAAATTAATAGTATTTTTCTGCCTGCATTCCTCATTGAGATCAGGAATTTCAGAATTCTTAAAAAGCACTTCCTTTATAGACTCATCACTCCTTTATTGAAAGTTAATATCCTCTCTGTCTCTCCCCCTCTCTTATTTATTAACTTATTCTCGTTTCTTTTTCCTATCTACTCAATTTCCAAAGGGAGTGTGAGGGCTTTTATCCCCCGCAAAAGGAATCTATTGTGATGGTTACTTAAAAACATCTTTTCAAAAAGTGAAGATTAGTGGTCAAGCTTGATGCGATATTATAGATGGATTTTATACATTATAGTCACAGACTCACATCTAGTATCTCACACGTGCAATGCACAGAGCACTATTTTGTTCAAAATTATTAATTACAAAAAAAATATATGAAGTAACCAAAAAACAACTTATTACCGCAAAATATCAAAACCAAAAAAGCATCACTACCGGTAATGTAGTAATAACAAAGTAGGGCTGGCATTTCAGACCGAAAAACCAAAAATTGAACCAAAAAAACCGAACCGCATTGAAGAAAAACCGCACCACATTGAAAAAACCCCGAACCGATTGAAAATTGGGACCCGATAAAAAATGGTTTGGACTCTGTTTATATTCCTAAAAAATCGGTTTGAACCGAACTGAACCAATAATTTTATATTAATAATGATTATTATTATTAGTAATAATCATCATAGTTAATTAGAAGTATCACAATTATATTAGCACTGCGAGCCCAATTTGAACTAATGTAACGTGCTGGCGAGTTGGTCGCGTAGAGAGATGCCTCTCCAAGAGGTCGTGGGATCGATTCCCGGATGAAGTTTTAATATTTACATTCAGTTTTCTTTGCAATATCACTTTGTCCCACACCGGAAAAGTGACGGCTTACTCTTCCAAAATGTTTTATATAAGGACATCTTCCAGCTAGTTCAAGGTACCGGGTAAGTTTCAACTGATGAGCTTGGATGATCTAATTAATAATGATCTTAAGCTCGTTTTGGACTTAGTTTTGTTAAAATAAGTTCAATATTTATTTATTTTTTTAACAATTCGGTTTCCTATCGGTTTCCGATAAACCGACCCGAAAAATCGGGCCTCGATTAATCGGTACCCGGTCTTTGATTGGTTCGGTTCCGGTTCTGATGTTTAGGAAAACCGAAAAATTGGTTCGGTCCTCGATTTGGTCAGATCGGTTTGGGACCCGAACCGAAACCAGCCCTATAAAAAAGTACATAAAATTAGGGCTGAGCAAAACCCGATCCGACCCGAAAAACCCGATATTTTTTTCGGATATTATCCGAACCGAAGTGGATATCCGACCCGAAAAACCCGAAACCGAAAATCCGATTAGTATTGGGCCTAGACCGGGGTGGCGGGTAGGGTTTGTGAAATCCCAACCCGACCCGCCCGAATATCCGAAATATATGTTAGTGTGTAGTTTGAATATTTAAATTAATACTTGTGTTCAATTATTTGTGTTATTATTTGTGCAATTTGTATTAAAATATTTGTGTAAATTGAATGTGTAGTGAACTAGTGTGTACAATTTTTGTTAAACGGGTATTCCAACACTTTAACTATCCAATTATAATGTGTTTTGATATAACAAAAATATCAGAAATATATTAAATTATGTAGTGTGTACTTTGAATATGTTAAATTAATACTTGTGTTCAATTATTTGTGTAATTATTTGTGCAATTTGTGTTAAATTATTTGTGTAATTTGGAAGTTTAGTGCACTAGTGTGTACAATTTTTGTCAAAGTGGCATTTAAACACTTTAATTATCCAATAATAATTTTTTTTAATATAACCGAAATATCCGAAACCCGACCCGATATCCGATAATATCCGACTTAAAAATATCCGAAATACCCGATTTGAAATATCAAAGGGTCGGGCCTAGTATTTAAATTAAAAAACCCGAACGGGTTTAGGGTTTGCAAACCCGACCCGCCCGAACCCGACCCGTGCACACCCCTACATAAAATCAATTGCAACTAAACAAAATTTTAATGTATAACATAATGTATAGGTTTTAACATGGCGAAATGTCTTACTACGTATTACAATTTTACAGATCTCAAAAACAGACAATATACCCACATACACCTCACTGGCCCCCTCTTGTTAAACTTTTCCCTTTCTTCTGTTATGTTCCTTAAGTTGCATATTTTAAATTGACAATACTTGCTTATCTAATTTTTTTATATTAAAGTAATACAGAGGAAGGGTGCGACTTTGGTCTTCCTTTCTAAGAATATGTTTATTATTACATTCAATCTATATCATAAAACTCATTTTTTACGTGAGTCTATATTGAGCTATTGCAAATTAACCTAATAATATCACTACTATATTAACCCAATTTATACATAATCATAAAAACAAATACTCAATCAACTTTTCAGGATTTTAAATTTATAATAATAAATACTATTTTTCACCACATACAGAGTATAATAATGTGTTGATCACATATGGTAAACTCTGTAAAGATTCGAGAGGATATGCAAAGTATATATATACATATATAAAGACAAATTTAACAAAAATCTAATAAAAGTTATCTTAATCTAGAAATTAGTAACACAAATTTTAATGCAGTCAAACTAACAATTTAGCCCACCATTAACAGAGTATGTCTCTAATTGTACGTAGTAGGATTTTGATGAAACCTTCATCTTCTTAGCATCTCTACCCCTTGCTTCTTTTCAGCCGCAGCTCTGGGATGCATCTTCTCCGCCGGCCGCTGCTCTCTGTCACTCTCTCCTTCTTGTCATGATAACATGAGCACAGATCAATCCATTTTAAAAAAAATCAGTCCGTCTTCTTCAATCCCCCCTCTCCTTTGTTTGATCCTACTATCGAAAAAGTATAAGCAACAGCCTCTAAATGAGTCAAATGGGTGGCATCTTCTTCTTTAAGAATTTTGTTGCAGTTATATTTAATCTCCTTACTCACCAACCAAAAGTTCACGCCTTCACGGTATACTGACCTATATAAAGGCAAATTTCTAAGTTATGTTCGCACGCGAATGACACAGATACTGAGCTACGGTATATATAGTGTGCTAATGAAAGGATTAGGATATCTCTATTTGGAATAATATTTGTCTTTTCATTTTCTCATTTGTTCTTTTAAAAGATTTACAGTTTCAATGTGCCATTTTCCCTTCTCAAGCATTCTGGACAATTCCAGTATTTGTTGGCCAATGATTTTTATCAATGTTGTTGCTGTACTTTTTCTTCCATGCTTCAGCACTTCATGATCTACTGTGAATGACTTTGGCGGGAGCTTCTCCTGTCAGAATCCTTTTGTTATTAAAGGATTTCCATAGTGACTATAATATCAAAGATGGATTTTACACTTTATATTCACTGATGCAAGTGCTATGAGGCACTTCTTACCAAATTTGGCTAACAGCAATATAGTATCCATCATACCATAAAAAAACTTCTACATTATGTCATTATATGTTTGAGTAAAAAATACTTTCGGAAGCTCCAATCGCTGCACTAATGAAGCAAGCGACGGACGAGGGAGCGTTGTCAGCTAGTCGCTTCACATGTCGAAAGCATGAGATCTTAAGTACCTTTTTCTTTTCATGTCTCCCCCACCCACTCTACACCAGTTCTTTCTTTGGGTGTACCTCTTCTCTCTTATTGAATTGTGAGAAAGAGTTCAAAAAAAGAAACAAAGAATCGCTCTAAGAATCGACCTTTTCAATTTATGATAGGATATTTGTGAGATTGTAGTGATGCCCTCCCTATTCCCTAATGGTCTACTGTGTGAGGTGTTCTGGTGTACCCAAAAAGAAAGACTCATAGCAGTAATATATTTGTGGTGATAGCTGCCTATCTCCACCAAGGCATTAAGTTTACTGAAATATACTGGATTAATATATTTGCATACAACAACAACATCCGGACCTTAGTCCCGAATCGACATATGAAATCAGAGCTAAAAAAATCAAAAGACAAGTATTAATATATTTACATATACTAAAAATATTATACATTTACTTGACCCTTTGTCTTATGGTTCATAACACGGTTTGATTTATGATTAAAAAATTATGCCTTGTGATTAATGACTTGATCACTGACCGGGCTGATTCCAAATTAAGCTGTCTCATTCACAACAGTAGGTCCTAAACATCCTACTACATCTCTTACTTTTTACTCCATTTGTTCAGTATCAGCCTTGGATGAGACCGTGATTGTACGCTCTCAGCAGATAAATGGATGAGCACTTGGCCATTACCCCCACCATAGTATGCATTATGATGTGTGTATGTGTTTTGGTTTGTTTATAAGTGTATGTGCATTAGTACGTATGTTCTGTGTTTTTCATATATTTTGGTAGTTCCCTCTTGCTCTGCATCTCGGATCAGTTGTCACTTGGTTGAGTCGCGTATGTATGTGTAAGGCAAACCTATTCTCTTGAAAATTCTTCTGGGGTATGATATACAACATTTAACTATGATCATGCGCATGACTCTCCCCCACATTTGGTGTATTTATCATGTAGGTATACCATCATTTTGGAAACGTGACAACCGGGCCATCCGACCCATACGCAGATGCCCAATGCAATGTCTGTCATAAATCTGACAATGAATGTCTTCTTTTACTATGTGATTTATGTGATTCTGCATCTCATACTTACTGTGTCGGCCTTGGCTCGAATGTCCCGGATGGTGATTGGTTTTGCTCAGATTGTACTATTCTTAGGACTGAACACGCAAAAACTGACACTAGGGATGATTCTGGCACTCAACTTAAACAACCTGACACATCATGTCATCAAATATCTCCTATGGGTGAATGCGTGTCTATCTTTGATATTGTCCGAGAACCAAACACTAGATATGTTGAAGGTTTGTCCTTGGTTAAATCAGATCCAAATAGGTCATCACCTCAAACTGTTACTACAGAAAGAGATGATGAGTTGGCTTCTTCAAGAAGTAATAAGCTTTCTGCTAAAACCTTGTGGAGGTGCCGTAACGTGCATGACCGTATACGCACCTTACGTGAAAATTGGGATGGGTTACAAAGTGGGTCCATGTGTTTCCCATCCAGCAAGAACCATGACTGTGGGTCCAATGGACCACAACGCTCAGATGAGATAGATAAGGCCTGGAAGATGATGGGTATTGCCAAGTCAATGATGAACAAGCATGATGAGACCAAGACACTTACCCAAGCCTCGAAACACGCTCATAAGAATATAGTTACCCATATAGAAGCAAAAGTCGAGCATGTGGAGAAGATAAGTACATTTAGCATATCATCATCCCGCTCACATTCTTTGATGAGGCCAGCACAAAGTGTCCCGAGTATTCCTTCTGAAGAGAAACTCTGTCTTTATTCCTCAAGAAACAACAACGCTGGAACACTGAAAGAAGAAGTTGGGATAGAAAAAGTTGATGAGAGGAGAAAAGCTAGAGATAGATATGAAGCCAAGAAAGAGGTTCAATGTCTGGTCAAGCTCAATTTGAAACTCCTATCCAGGGATAAAAAACTAGGTATGGTGTTTATTTACTGAGTGCCACTAAATACATCTTACCTGCAGCATTTCAATGCACAAATGTCCTGGGTCCATGACAGCGCATCAATGGTGGTCAGAATATGCTTTTGGGTGTGTAGGGATCCCAGAAAAAGCTAGGGAAAAGATTGCTAAGCAAAATTTTCTCTGTGTTTGGTTTTCTCTTGAAACTGCTAAGTAATAAAAATACAATGTTTTGATTTTGTTTACTATGTCTGTTGGAGTTATCCCATATTAACTTAATGTGATTTAAAAAAAAAAACTTCAAACTTTCAGAGCTAGTTTAGTTTAATACGAAGTTTTTGTTTACTAGTAACTGTTAACAATATTTATGTTTTTTATTCTTTATATATGATAGAATTAAACAAACAAACAAATAAATAAATAAAAATAAAACTAAATAAATAAGTAAAATTAGTTTGAGCAAACATATAAATAAAATTTAATGGTATGTGAACCGATGTTAAATTTCCCCTCATGTTTTCTTTTCTATCAAATTGCCCTTATACTTTCCGTCCTATTTTCTTTCCATAGCATATTCACAAATCCAAACTAGCTCATAGTGTCAGCAAAGGCTACTTTTATTGAGTCTTTGAGCATTTTAACTTATAATGTAGTGCAGTAGTGGTTTTCATTATCAAGTGTGCGTGGTGCTCTTGTGCGGGTGGGGGGTTAGTGGCTACTCTAAGAGAAGACAATGAAGACACATTGAGATCATTTGGGACAAGGAAGTACTAGGGAAAGAAAATAGGAAGAAAAATAGAGAGGTTGATTGTAAGGAAAAAAAGACTAAGATTTCAATAAATGTATTTATTTATAAGTTCAAACCGATTTTACTTTATTTATTCTACTTTGTATCTTATAAAGCCAAAAAAAGTGAACTTATGTAAACTTATTTGCTTTCCCTACTCCCTAGCCTTTTCTGCAGTCCAAACAGACTACTGCCAAGGATGTCAAAATTGAAGTTTTTGTATTACTAATGTGGTATACACACTGGAGTGTATGGGGGGTGCTTACTAGGCCTTACCCACTTCAGATTTGAAAATAGCTTATTTTTTATGTGTGTGTGTGTGTGTGGGGGGGGGGGGGATATGAAAAGTTATCAGAAGAATTGTTTGTACAGGCCCTTCCTAACATTCTTTCTGGCTACGCCACTGATATACGTAGACATAGGAAGTTGATTCACAAGATGATTTCCTTGTATATTAGATACGTAGTATACGCTTGTACAGCATATTATTCTACGTATTCTACATGCTTTGTGAATTGATATGCATTTGTAATGTTAGTATCATTTTGTATGCAGAAGCAGATAAGTTTAAAGAGATTGCCAGGCTTTCCACTCACTCCATCCTAGAAGCTTGCGGCTTGGAGGCTCGATGCCCTGGAATTCCTTCATTCCCAAACTCTAATGTGTGCATCCATGTCGAAGACGGCCGTGAAATAAGAAGATCCACTTTGATGCCCAAATCTTGCCGCGAATGTTTCTATTTATTTGTAAAAGACGTTGTCAACACCATACTGTCAGAGAGAAAAGGGTAGGGCTAAAAAAATCTTTTGTAGGATTACATGTGTATGTATAGATGTATGCATGTGCGTCTATATTAAAAATGTTACAGTCCATGTATATGCCATGCCAATCGTTCTAGAATCTAGAGTAGGTTTTGTTCAGGTAGCTGAAATGGTTTGGATGTTTGAACATTGTCGTCTACAACTAGTGGTATACTGGTATATTTGTGCCTTGAATCTGATTTCCAACTTTCTCAGCAAAGTAAAACAACATTTTTTATTATGAAGGAAAAATTCACATGAATAATCCCACCTTTTTAGTTTCTTCCAATATTAATCCCAAATATGAGTATTTCTGAAATAATCTCATTTATAGAGGGTATCTTCTCAAACTAAGCCCATGACCGGATAAAATTATTCTTCAGGTAACCCCAACACTTGTCTTAATCTGATTGGATCTTACACATTTTTACTTTTCAATTTTTTTCCTTTCTCTTTCTTTATTTCTCCTCATCTGCTCAAGACCTGTTTTCTCACTTTTCTGACTTTTCTCTTCGTTCCTTTTCAATTCTTTTTCTTCATCTCTTTCATTCATTGCATCTCTTCTTGCATCCAGTTTTCTTAATTTCTTTTACACCTTTAGACATTCAGTCATCTATTTAAATTGATGAATGGAAGAATAAGTCAATAAACTGACAGCAGCTCCAAGATGAACCATCAGAGTCTAGTGGAATACTACTCCGGCAACGATCATTGACCTCAGGACCTTCATTCGATCGTTCCATTAGAAGCATAATCAGATGCCCTATTTTTCCGCCGCCGCCTTCCTTTTAGCCGGCGATTGGAATTGATTCAAAAGGGGATGAAAAGTGCTGACAACACCTTCCTTTCCGTGTGGATTGAACTACTCTTGCGCTCAAAGATGAATTATGTAGAGGATGATGAACACTTCTTCCATGTCTTCTTCATTGATAAGGGTGCAGATGGATGACCACGGGGATCAATGAAGTGGATTCAGGTTTGAGATGCAGATCAATTTTATATAATGTTTTTTTACTGGTTTAGAAGGTTGTAGGTGACCTGGATCAATGGTGGAAGATCATGTACGAAATTGAGATTATTTTAGAAATACTCATATTTGGGATTATTCATGTGAATTTTTCTTTTTTATTATTGGTAGATTCTATGGTACCCAAAAGGTACCGTACCTTAGTCCACATGGACCAATCAGAATATTGTAGTTGAATTATTTAAGTCTAATTAAAAATTGATATACCTATGTGGACCAATCAAGTGAATGATAGGTACGGTACCCCATTTTTTAAATGAGTACCGGAGTTCTCACTTTATTATTATGTCCATTTGTCAATTTTAATTAGGTATTTTAATATTTGCTCGTGAGCATATGATAAAGAGAAAAGGTTATCATAATATCAAGAAATAAATATATGCGATTTTTGAAATGAAAATGGTTATCATTAGATTTAGGGAAAATGGAAACTAATAATCCAACCTTTTAGCAGTCTTCTTACAATAGTCTCACCTTTTCGTTATTCAAGAAAAATCCAACCTTTGCACCTCATCTTCATTCGCTGGTCCCTGACCGGTTAATGACTTGCTATTCCAAGTTATTTTCTTATCTTTGCAACATATTATCTTTGTGAAATGTGAGATTTATGGTATAATGGTTTGCAAAGATAAGAAAATAACTTGGAATATGAAGTCATTAACCGGTCAGAACTAGCGAATGAAGATGAGGTGCAAAGGTTGGATTACTCATGAATAACGAAAAGGTGAGACTATTGTCAGAAGACCGCTAAAAGGTTGGATTATTAGTTTCCATTTTCCCTTAGATTTATATAGTGATCACCTATGTTACGCCGATACGCGAATACAGGTACGACGATACAACAATTTCAAAAATTATAGGATACGGGTACAGGGTATATTTAAAAATAATAAAAATATAGGGTATAATTTGCAAATATATACTCCGTATAATTCAGGGGTTCATAACTAAAATAATAATATTACGAAAAATAACTATTATTCCCTCTGTCCCGCTATGCTTGTCCCATTTTACCATTTCGGAAAGTCCCACTAAGATTGTCTCATACCAAATTGGGTAAAGTTTGTGTGGCTCTAAATCATACTTATTTTATTTTTACTTTATCAATTTTATATCAACCACACAAACTTACTTTTCTTAATAATCGTATCACTTTCTCTTGTCTCAATCTTAGTGGGACGGAGGTAGTATAATAAAATTTCAAAGATTAGGCTAAAGAAACTAAAGTACTGATATTTCGATTTAAATTCAAATAATATTTTTTGTTCTCTATTTGCATTTACATCTAAGTCTTATTTCAATTAAAACTCATCAAGCGATAAAATGACAAATTATAGTATTTCATTGTTTTTCATACTCCCGAAATCATTTTTATCAATGTTTCACATCTTGTTGTCACTTAGGCGGCTACTAAACTTTTGTCATGTCGTGTATGAAATGAGAGTTATAGGGTCAGATATGCGTATTGGTTCACGGATACGAGTACCAGAAGTATCGGGTTTTTTAAAAATAAGCCCGATACTTTTATTAAATTACAGATACAGACCCAATGCGGCAATACGTACATGATGCGTATCGGTGAGTATCAGTATCAGATACGCATTGTACGCGATGATCCGGCAACGTGGTGAAGTATCGATGCACCATAGGTGATCGCCATCATCATGAGCTATATAAATTAAAAAAAATGTATGTTAGTTGCTTTACATCATGTGCTTCGCGCTCCTCAAATAAGATCAATAAACACATTGAGGATTTGCATTTTCATTTTCAATTTAGAGTCAATTTGACAACACAGAAATGGTCGAGTCTGTTGATGAAATTCTAGTTGAATTAGTTGAATTGACTAAATTTGTTACATTCATGTAAAAATAACTAAAATTATTCTCTACAATAGCTTTAGTCATTTTAACTTCAATTTTATTTATTTTAATTATTGTACGAAGTACTAGTACGGAGTATTATTTAGAGTGTGAAATTAAAAGTTTGTAAAATAATTGATTAATAAATCTGATATTCTGACTTTTGCTATAACTATTTGCAATTATATATGGAGCTTTTATTAGTTTTTTTTGTCAAATCTTTCTAACTATTATAGTATCTGTTCTGTTAAGGTCAACATCCTTGAACTGGAATGAGATTCAAACATATGACATCCTCTTTGAAAGTGGCACAGTGATGTCATTAGACCATAAAATACTTGACACAGAGTACTTATTAATCACATACTCCTTCAGTTCTTTATTAATAGTCCCCTTAGGCTTTGACACGGGTTTTAAAGAGAAAATAATATGAGTAATGTAAAAGATGTAGTGATTTGTGTTTAAATGAAAAAGTAAGAAAGAGAAAGGGGTAAGAGTAATAAAAGTGGGGTAAAAAGGTATTTTGATTGAAAAAACTTACCAAAAAGGGAAAGAGGAACAAATAATTAAAAATGTCCCAAAAAGGAATGCGAGACAGTTAATAAAGAACGGAGGGAGTATAACTTTAATAACTCAATGTAATGCAAAATAAATCGATCGCTGCCAATCACAATATGCAACCTATTGTCGCTGTCATCGTCTTCGTTAAAATCGGAATGTCACAGATTGAACTATATATATATTTGAAACTCTTTTCTTAAAGAAACATATCAAAAGACTAATTTGAAAATTTCTAAAACCTACAAGGGCTAATATTTTTTTAAAAAATTGACTACACCTTTTTTTAGATAAATAAAGTAAAAAAATGTGTAGTTAGTTTTGCAAAAAAAGTTAGCCACGGATGAAATTTAATGGGTAAATATAGGAATTGAGCATTTTCTTTTTGTTTGTGTAACAATAGATTAATTATAATTGGATGCAACTGATAAATATTAAAAAAAATGTTCTTTTTGTTGATAAATATAGGCTGAAAACATGTTTAGATAATTAGTCAAAAATAAGGCATACTCAATAAATTAGAATATGCATTTTAAACAATGTTATAATCGAATAAATAGGTGATTTTGCATTGGTAAAACTAAACAACAAAATTATTTTATTCCGTACACGTTACGGGTAAGAATACTACATTAGTTAAATATAAAGCCCATAATAAGTTATACAGAGTACTGCGTAATTTATGAGAAACATGAAGCACAAGTTGAAGCAACTTCTTTTCGGCAAACTGCTTTTCCAACGGCTCTGGAAATATCACACAGCTGCCGCACAAAGCATGAGAATGAGAAAGGAGGAAGCATCTCATTGTTTCAAATAAGACATGCATGGAACCTTCTCTTGCGAATCACCACAGCAAAAAGGGTGAGGGGTACTACATTTAACCAACCCAAGAAGGTGATGAAGGGTAATTTGAACCCTAGCCTTGTTCCTGGAGCTTGCAAGCTATCGAAGTGGGTTGAACCTCACTAAAGAAGACGTACAAGAACGCTCCTTAGACGCTTGGGCAAGGTATGCTTGTCAGATGCATTCTATATCAGTAATTTGCACCTGCTTTAGTTTGTCACAGAGGTAAGAGTCAATGGAGTACATCGACGCTTGTATGACGTGGAGTAAAGAGTAACACGTTAATACACCCGTTAGATTAACACGTTAATATGACTGAGTTGAATAACAGATCGAATGTTAATAGGTCGACTTCTTGAAGGTCAACGCCAGCCCTCAGCCACTTGATCGACTTCCCCTTGGTCGATGCACCCTGTTGGCAGACGCCCCCGCAGGTCGATCTCTGAAGGTCGATTTTTCTTTTGTTGATCGATTTTGTGAAAGTCGGCGCCATAACCTTAGTCCATTACCCCTTCTTACTCAACACTAGTATTGTACCCGTGCGATGCACAAGACAATAATATGTTTGTATTTTTTGCGTGATTATTTTAAAGTAATTATAAAGATATGCTAATAGTCAAGTTCCTTAGAAATTAGAATGATTTAATGTTAAAAAAATACTCCCTATATTATTATGTATAAATATTGCGATAAAATAGTACTCCGTATGTGATGGGTGTTGAATACAGTACTTAAATATAAGAACCTATTATTCAATTTCTTGACATCTCCCCTACTCCGTATATTTAAGAATAGATAATTATTTTCTTAAAATCACGTCAAACTCATCGGGACGTGAGTACCATATATATGAATTAAAGGTTGAAAAACAAAGTAGGCAATGTTTTACTGCATGAGTACCATATATATATTCTACTCCGTATAGTATATACCTGCTTATCATTCATAAATTGTAAGTTTAATGTTGTGTCTTGT